CCCTAACTACTCCCCTGCCAGCCTGATCGCCCCCTAACTGCTCTCCTGCTGGTCTGATTGCCCCCAACTGCCCTCCCCTGCCAGCCTGATTGCCCCTAACTGCTCTCCTGCTGGTCTGATTGCCCCCAACTGCCCTCCCCTGCCAGCCTGATTGCCCCTAACTGCTCTCCCTTGCTGGCCTAATCACCCCTAACAGCCTCTGCCTTGGCCCCCACCACTGTGGCTTTGTCCAGAAGGACATCCTGAAGATGTCTGGTCTAATTAGCATATTACCCTTTTATTAGCATGGATTTTTTAAAAGGTAGCTCTGAGGCTAATTGTCAACAGAAGTCTCTCCTATTATGTTTTTTATCCCATTGTGTATAGACATTAGACTCAATGATTCATTTTCTAATGAGCCACCAAAATTGCAAAATGATAGAGCTTTACATTTCTACGAAATAATGTTTTAAGACTTTTCATAAAGAAGAAATATCTTCTTTATAGGTGACATTATAGAACAACTGCTATAGGATTAAGGCAAACTACTATAAATTCCTATGGTAATCTTTTTACCAGTTCTAATGAAAGACTTTTCATTCTCATACTCATCAGTAATGTACATTTTACTAATGTCTAATTGGAATCAGGAATTGTGGCAAACAGTAGCTTTTCACCTCCCAATACATGCATTCTTAACCCCTTGCAGAGAAGTAGGGCTTGCAATGACTTTTAGAAAATGGAAAAAGAGAAAAGTGTGTGTCTCTTCCTGGTGTTGGCCTTCAGTGCTCAGGGTGGCCCTTCAATGCTCCCTCTTTCTCTAGCTGTACTGACCCAGTGCTGTGACAACACATGACTGAGGGAGTTAGATCCCTGGGTGGGTAATGGAGCAGCGCCTGCTGGCCTACACTGCACTTTACAACAATGAGCACCTGAGATCACCACAGCATAGCAGGGCCACTCTGGTCAATGCAGTGGTCCCAGGTACCTCAATGAAAGCTCTGCTGAGCATCTTTTCAAGATACGGAGATAGATGAACAGTACAGAGATATGCAAACTGCAACTTTATTTCCAAATACTTAAACAATACACTTACAGGCATACAAACAGCAGCATGTTCTCAAAGGTTGAAATTTCACTTAATGCCAAAAGCAACTATGTGACCTTTGGAGGTCACACAGGGATTGTCAAAGGCAGGTTCACAGCCCTGGCCAGTGGCTCAGTTTGTTGGGATGTGGTCTCCTACACCAGAAAGTTTGCAGATTCGATTCCCATTCAGGGCACATAGTTTTCAGGTTCAATCCAGTCAGAGCAAGTACAGGAAGCAACTGATTGGTGCTTCTTGCTCACGTAGAACTCTCTCTCTCTCTCTCTCTCTCTCTCTCTCTCTCTCCCTCCCCCTCCCTCCCTCCCTCCTTCCTCTCTC